TAAACACATTAACTTTTCCTCACTTCTAAGTACCTTCCACAGAGGTCAATCATCACCACCAGTCCTTTCCTGAAGACAGCTCTTCTGACATTGCATCTCCATGGATAATCCATACAGATCCTGCTTCACCACTACCACCCTTCCAAAGAGCTCTTCAGGGTGACCTCTCTTCTTCCACGTGATCAACAGTTATTTTTTGTTTGAGAAGTCTGACAGTCTGGAAATACACCCAAAGTCAGCCATGGCCCATCTGCACTATTTGCACACCTCTAAGGACTTCTGTCTGCTCCAAGATCTTTGCAGACATTCTGCTACCTGGCTGCTTAACCCAAAACATCTGCTACAGACAACCACACAGTGCCAGCACTGGATAAAATCCAAAATATCTCCTGCTGACTCTGAAGTCAGACTGCCAGGCACAGCAGAAGGCAAAATCTTTAGCATCTATCTCTCCTGAAGCCTTGCTAACATCTTAGTTTCACAAAGTAAAATCGCCTCTATATTATTATTTATTTGAAACACTCTGAGTGTCCCAACTGAACTGTTTTTCCTTGTCCAACATGTTCCCTCTCTTCTGCACTGGAAATGATCTACACTAGATATTTGACAAATTAACTGCTTAAGTACTTTCCCAGCATCTGATTGCTGGTTCGGTAAACATCTGGTGTGAAATCAGATGGAAGAGCTACAAGTGATTGAGAAGTACAATGTACAGAAATACTGTATGTAGCCACTACCAGCTTTCATCTTCTTGTCTCAAAAGTATTTATACCTTTCTCTAAGCAATAGAATGTGAAATAGTTGTACAAAAACTCAAATGTTTCAAAACCACAGCAAATATAGAGGAAGAAAGTATATTAGGAACTGCACAAACTACTGGCACCAAACTTTATTCTGATCTTTCAATATTACTGTCATTCTGTGTAGGTACAAGCAATTTGAAGAGCAGTGAGAAAGTATTTTTGGTTACATATGCAGTAACTTACACTATCCACTTTCCCAGCAGTCCACACTTCCCTGCAATGAGCCTTGTTTGTATAAATGCTCCTGCATAGTGGCAGCAACTGTGATGGGTCACCATCAGGCAACAACTGCAAATGCAGTGTAACTGTTTTCAAGGCAATATTCTGCAGGAGTCTCTGACTCCTATTCCTGTAACTCTTCACATCAGCTAACATGTCTGGTCAATCTATTACCCTCTTAAGTTGAGTGGAAAAGTAATGCACTATCTTTTGTTTAAGGTTCCAAATAAATTACTGTGACATACTCCACAAAAAATGAACGAAAGACTACACACGCGCCTGTGATTTCAGATTACTTTTGGGGCTAAAACAATCAGTGCTGAACTCGACAGGTTTTTGAGATTGGACAGAGCACACACTCCACTGTAACAGATGACTTGGAACATCAAATGTACTGCTGACCGCCATCTAAAGTCACTTCTTGCCCTTCAAAGTGACACTACCTTAAAAAAAATCAATAAAAAATTAATTATAGGAGGGAACTTGTGTGGACTGTCTCCAGTAAATTCTGCTTCTTTCACATGTAAGTATTTCTTGAGGCATTATAGGTGAAAGATTAGGTGCTGAGCATATGATGCTCGATAATACTCACAGCAACCGCCTCCAGGATTTGTTTAACAGCGTCAGCCGCATCTCGCTCACTGTAGTAACCCTTTTCCACAATCCTATAGAAAAAGCAACAGGAGAAACTGTGTTCAGAATTACGCATTAGGGTAAATAAACTCCGCAGGCAAAATCTTCTTTTCAAAAATGAACTACAAAAAAAATAAATTTAAATATGAGCAGGACTCTGGAGTGCCTCCTAAAGAACAGAACACAACTCTGTTGCAATTTAGGTTACCTTTGATTCCCAGTTAAATGAAAAACTGGAGATAAAGTATCAACTAGGTAAGAAGCTCATAATATATACACATTCCGTTGCAAGGTTTTGGAATTTTCTAAAATTCGGGGAATTTTAGTTACTCTCAGATAAAACTACGTAACCCTTAGGAACTGCTTTTTCACTTTCATATTTAACTTAAGCCCCTCCTTTATTTGTTTACTTTTTAAACAAAAAGCACTGTGCTACGAACACACAGAACTGAATCTTTCAGAGAAATGGTTGCTGTTCACTAGCTTCAAATTATCCCTCAAGTATAATGGGCTGAACAGTTGTCTTTTTCCCCCCATCAGCAGAAAACTGGGGGCTCTGCAGTCAAAGAAATACGGTTTCAGTAAAACCAAAACTACTTTTTTTTTCTTCTTAACATAAATAGCCAATTTGCCATGTGTTTTTTGCACAGATGACATGTGATAGCTTGATTTTGTAAATCTGATGACCATGTGCAGCTTATGGTGAGTTCAGCAATATTTATGAGTTCTGAATATCCTGCAAATCTGGTTGTCTTTCTCCCTTTGCTTTCACATCAGTTGAAGCTTGTAAAAACAAACCAACCCTCAACTTCCTTCTTTAATAATGTTATCTCCCTAGAACCTTACCATGATAAAAACACTTAGAAAGAAAATCTTTCTCCGTGTTCAGGTAATGTTGAGTGTATTTCAACACGTTGTGTGCTGTGCTGCATAGAAAGGGTAGCAAGGGTTAATGCAAATTTCTGGGTTGGCCTCCCAAAGCCCAGCTGTGCTCCTGCAACTCTTGTAGAAGAACACCAGCAGTGTCACAGCGTCTGGGGGCTGACTCAGGATTTCCATCACATGTTCTCCAAGAACTGCCATTACAGAGTTCAACATTCTAGAATGCACACTTCAGTTCAACAGTCAGCAGAAGATACAGATTTGTACGATGACATAGAAGTAGTTAATAGAAGAAAGATCTATCATTAACATCTACTAATGCTCCATTTCAGACATCCAAGAGTCTTTTTACTATTGTATTTAATTACACACAGTATTTGTGAACTGCAATAATTCTCCCTCAGAGAGTTATCTCAAAGGTCAGATCATTGACCTGAAGTTTTGATTTTTTACCATACTCATTATTCAAAGCCCAAGAAAACACAGATAGATGTTTTCTGAAAACAGAATTTATGGTGCCTACAAGTGCCATTTTACAAAATGGTCTCCTGCAAGCACAAAAGCCAGTTTTACAAAACAATACTCTAAAATCCCCATGAAGCAGGAGAGCAAGAAGCCTATAACGTCTGCAGTCAAAAGTCGCTGGAAAGACCTTCTGCCTCAGGGTCCAGAAACAGACTCTGGTTGTGGCAAGAAGGGTATACTCCTTCCTCCCCACCTTCCCTGTTTTGCAGTATCTTTTTACCACTTCTCCAAAATAATAGTCTTCTGTTGAGCTACCTTCAGTGCAACTCCTTTCTGCTTTACAAAATCTGACAGTAAAGGTGCTGACTAATGCACATACGAAAAGCATTACTACATACTCAATAGAATGATACACGCAATAAGAAACAATGCAAAGATAATAACCCACCACAAACAGATGTAACAAGCACGGCACTGCAGAAAATAGTCTACGCAGGGATATTCCTAACCAGCTGCAATTACTTTACCTTAACACTCATTGTATTCACAGACAAAGTCTATTCATGTGGCACCCGCAACAACAAGCAATTCCCCTGAAGGAGGAGTTCTTGTATTTCACATGATTTCTTGGCTGCATAATTATTTTGCCTTATTTCTAGAAGTTGTTTTTTTTTCTCGCAGACCTTCAGCTACCATCCCATATGCACTGCTCTACCTCCTTTGCATTTTTGCACCTCCAGTCCTTCCCCTGCTTTGGTCATCTGTTTAAACCATCAGGGAGAGCTTTACTTGAACTTACCACCACAGGGGTAAAGCAAAGCAGAGTCTACTCAATCAGACATTATGTTAGGCTTTTAGCCACAAGTTTAGGAAAGAGGTTACAAAAAATCATAAATTACACAATAAAATGCTACGTTATGCTTGAAAGTAAGATATGTCCTTCAGCTATTTAAGGCTTAATTATCTTCCTCTGGCAGATTACATGGTAAGGCCTGAGACCCAGTGACCTTCTCATCTGGGTCTTTGTTCCCCCAAATATATTGGTTTGACTTCCTCCTCCCTTTGAATTCAAGTACAGTATTTAGTGTCAGACAGCAGGTTTCTGTCTGTAGCATCCGTAAACATTTCTGAGAACACAGACCTCGCCCCCATCCCATCTTCCCCCTTCCCTGCTGGTATTTTAGGTGCTAACTTGCTCCTCCGACCACGGCATAAGAGCCATGTTAAAACACCGTCCTCATTTTGCAAGATTCCATGTATTAAAGACATTCACATTGTCATCCTGTTGAGTTTACAGTCTTTAGTCAGACACAGGAAATCGTAACAACATTTCAAATTTGGTCACAGGCAGTAAAACCAAGCAGACTGCTGTGCTAGTGTGACCCTCTGCTTTCAAACTGCCACAGATTTTGGAATGTATTCCACAATGCACCACAGGTAAAAGACAGGCATCGCAGGGCTGCTGCTGGGATAATGCTGCACGTAGACTGAGCTGCCAGGAGCGCGCTGTGTTTAATTCCACCATCACTCAGGCACATGTCCCCTGGCAATGGGTCACCCTGCCCACGCCTTGAGTCCAACAGCTGCCAGATGACCTTGGGCACAAGCCTTCAGTAACGCGTGAGGCAGAGGTTTTAAGGTTTCAACAGGATTTGAAATTCTCTGGTTTTCCACCATACGTGACTAAGATCAGAGAAATACGTGGCAATACAGTTGCAATTCAATTTATCTTTCTCCCTTCATCCAAAAAATTTCTAATTTTACCGTATGGCAACCAGGTATTTGTTTTATTCCTTTCTTTTTCAAACAGATAGAACTGGGAAAAAGAAAAAAAAAAAAAGACATCTCTTGAATGCAGCAACTTCTTTGCGTTTTCCTTCACTCAACAAAATAAAAAGAAAACATGAGGTTCTAGCTTCCCATCAAGGCCTGACCAATGCAGGAAAGAAAACCACCAATTACCAGACCACTCACAGCATATAGAAGACTAGCCCATCCCAACTTAGACCCAACTATATGTTGGTAAGGATAGGACACTGCTCTCATTGTTTACATTAAATACATAACAGAAGGAGCGCACAGACACTGAAGATGAAGCCAATGTGAATTTACACTTTACAGTAAATAAATGTAATGAAGTGTGGGCCCATATTTCAGGAAAGCAGTAAAAACCAACTGCAGAATTATTCCACAATGCACGTGATTTATCCGCTGTTAACTGCGAATAACATGCACGTGCAAGCCAATTACAGCGTATGTCACATGCAGTTAGCTTTCTAGGTTTTCAGAAGTCTAGAATCCAGAATTCTTGAGAATACAAACCTAATTCTTCATTAATAATAATCTAGCAAGTAGAAAACCTAATCTTCTGTAACAGCAATAATTGAAAAAAGACATACTTCTTTCCAAAGATGAAAATTTATTTCTAAAGTTACTCTGCTTTAAAAGTAAAACCAGGCTATTAGGCAGTAAAGCAGACTACTGAAAGCAGATTGTCCTGTAGTTTAGGTCGTGTAATAATGCTGGGGGATCATGCGCATATCTATTTTTTGCATCCACCCTGTGACAGTTTACATAAGACAAATGGTAGGTGTGTCAGTTTGCTTTATTATAACAACACTCCTTCCTGAGACCAATGAAGCTTCTTTACAAGTATTTTTCAATTTCAGCCTGCAGATTAACAATGACTCATTGCCCTTTTTTCTATAATGGGAAGGTAACCTGCAGAAATGTCTTGTTTTGTTATTATGGAAGCAAAACCAATTAGGTACAACTAGTTTACAGACAGATCTTTACGAAAAGCGTGAATAAAGAAAGATTAAACCTTCCTTGAGAGGATAGAAAGATAGGAACAGCAACACTAAGGCATGAATTAAATACTCTCTTTGATATGCAAATAAAAGAGTCAGGTAGGCCAAAAGAGTGCTGGAGAGAAAAACTGTGAGGAAGACAGCAGGGAATCGAGAAGAAGGGATACAGAAATGCTCAAAGTCAAACTAAAAAAATAAGCCTGGAAAAACACCTAATTTGATGTCACAAACATCCAGGAAATTCAAGACAGTGCTTCAAACTGAAGATGACATCCTAGAGCAAGCAAAAATGTGATGTTGATGAAATAAACAATTTGTATTGTAATTGCATTTGTGTAAAATCATTTTTTCATGCCCATTTCTTGGAATATGCTGACTCTGTTGTTTACACTTGTACATGGAGAGGTGCACATCTAACAGTGTATGTGCTGATGGACACCAAGCCACAGGCCTCCCAAAACCCCAGCTGATTTAATCTTGTCTTTCCAAGCACATCTGAACATCTTTTGAGACAAATGTGCCTCTTTTTGTAGAGAGAAGCAGAGAAGCATTTCCCCAGGTCCCCTCCTCACTCCTTCTTCCCACCACTGCCGGAGATGGGGATGCCCCTTGGCAACAGCCCCGTGGTGCCGAGACGCAGCCCTGCCTGCCCGTAGGGTCCCTTCATACAGCAGAGACCACCCCACCGTGCCCCTGACCCAGAGCCCACAGACACGCCACCAAAGCAATGATAAAGCCCTCTCAGCTGCTGCTGAAGCTGAAGAAGTGGAAAAGCCTTGTGCTGTCAGGTAACAGATCTATAAAAAATTTAGTGCTGAGCAAAACCACCCTCAGGGTCACGCCGCCCAGCAAGCCTGCAGAAATGGTGTAATGTA